TTTGAATGAGAGGCGAACACCTTAACCTCTAGGCCACGAGAGCCCCCTCTAATGGTTTAAGTGCACACTACAACCAAAGACCGTGCTACAACGATGCCGCAATTGTACCCAAAGACCTGGAAGTTAAAGTAGAGTAACCTTTAACCCCAATGGCTTCCCAGGGCTCCTTTCCGCAGTTCCCTGTTGCTGGGCTGCGGCGGCCTGGAATCCCATAAACATGGGACATTGATAACTTTCTATTATCAATGATCATTCATAACAAGATAGTTCACTCGGCCAAAAAAGTAACCACGGAAGTCCGCACATTGGTTCAGATGGCGCAGCAGTCTTTGTTTTGAAGCTCTCTTTTGTTTTTCCAGAAGAAGAATAGGAATAGCACAGTTTGTTAGTTTTTCTTTTATTGTTTTTCAGAAAAGTAGGGTAACTCTGTTCAAAAAGTTCTCCCTTTTACGAAGAAGGCGCCACCGGATTTTGAGGACACTTTTTTAATAGGCTGGAAAGAGAGGATTGAACTATCTTGTTAAATACGATCTTTGCTATTATCTTCTCTAAGTCGATAGACTCCATTGTAGTCAATTGTTGAAGGTATTTCGCTCGGAAATGCCCGACCTTGACATCGCAGTGTCAACATGGACACGTGACTCAGCCTTGTTGTGATGGCTGCAAACCACCAGACCGTGCGACTCGCAGTCCTGAAAACAAACGTCACCGACCGAGTCGGTCGGTTTGTGCCACGATGGCCGCTTTGCGCCCTCAATTTGGTTAGCTCCGACTACCAAATCGACCCGACCCAACCCGATCGCGCTGGTGTGCACCCCCTAGAGTTACAAAGTTCTATCTGACACGTACGGCCGTTTTGAGTTACTAAAGCCATGATGTCAGAAACGTTATGTTCTCTGCTCTATCAAAATCGTAGCGTTATTCGGGGTCGTTTTCAAGATATGTTAAAGACCAGCATTCGAAAAAGCTTGCCATGTTGTGAAACTCCAAATTTTTTGCTTCAAATTTCTCAAAACTGAGTACCGTACTGAGCGGACAGAACTTTGTGCTTCTAGGATAGCGAATCATTACAACTACCAAAATAAATCAAATAAACAGATAAACAAAACAAAAAAAACAGGAACATTCGTGTGTTGACACAAGAGATTAGACTGCGTGCATCTGTGTATATGATGTCATGCGTAGTTCTAGATCTATATACCTCGTCAGCCAGTTGTTCAGATGTATGAAGCGCAACATTTTCAAAACAATTTTTACTGCAGTTTCTTAATCTGTGGTGTCAGTTGTATGTGCTCAAGAAATATTTTGTCAAAATTCAAATTCTAAATTTTGAAAAGGGTAAGAAATGATAAAGAAAGAAAGTATAGAACTTGTAGAACAGTTAAGAATGAAACACTTTTATTTCCTCTCTTTGTTCGCTTGAGTAAAGAGAAGCACATAGACCAAATAAGTGTCATTTAGTGCTGGAAAGGGTTAAACAGACAGACAGAAACAACAGAGGGAAAGTAAAAAAGTAGGACCTACCAGTAGCGCCCTCCAGCCTCCCGCCATTTCCTCTCTTGAAAATGTTTGCTTTAGCTGAGTTTATTTTGGGCAAGTGTTTTACTGCGCTCGCAACTGCATAATATAAGGTCATATGAGAGCGCGCTGGACACATTACAACATTTTCAGTTAGGTAGGAAATTGTTAAATTTTGCCTGGGAGCCGGCCGAAGCCAACTCTTATTGCTTTAGGAATACCACTGGACCTTTAACACGTGCGCAACTCGCACCTGGGACCTCAGAGATTTTTCACCTTTATCCGAGAAGGCAAGGTGATAGATCTTACTTCTTACCTACCATAAGACCAGGGGTGCGGCTGAAAGACAGCAATAAGGAGGAGCCTAGGAGTAGTAGTAGATAGGCTGCAGAAAGAGTCAGGAGCCCAGAAGGAGGCAAAGGGGGTGAGGGGTGGGGGCAGAAAGTGGAGGCAAAATCAGACGATATAACATTATAGGAGGGCAGGAAAGGGGGTGAAAGTAAACAAATTTAGAGAAGAAAAACTTCCCTCGCTATCCAGATTCGAACCCGGGACCTATCGAAAGAGAGGCGAACACCATAACCTCTTGACCACGAGAGCCCCCTTTCTGAGATTAGAACATCTGAACAACCCGCCAACGATACAGCACAGCCAGTATCCAATTTTCATTAATTTCATTTTTGTTTGCACACGCCGTGACAAACCATTAATTATAGAAAAACAAGTTTAGTTTTAGTAAGACATTTAAACGGCACTTGCAACACAATAAGGTCATGTTCAATGCTCAAGATTAGAGGTGTTATTAGCGAGTGACAAGCACAAAAGAAAGGAGAGATAAAGGCGATAGATGTTTGATAGGAAAGAAGGAACAAACCAGATCAGAGCACTCTCAAACCATTCACTACAAAAACAGGACACTTCTATCGTAAGATTTTGTTTTAGTTCAAGGCCCTGCTAGACATTGTCTGAGTCATTTCAACCGAAAGTGTTTGACACATTAGCCTAATATAATCAGCAGAAAAGAGGAGGAAAGAAAAGAAGATGGCAGCAAAGGACATTGGGTACGATTGGAACGTCCTTTTCATCAACTCTGCCAGGTCAAGAAGGAGATGATACCGTGTATGTTGTATATACATGTATATATATATAT